ATGGTTTAAGCATATTTACTAATTACAATTACAAAATGGAGTAAAACTAGAAATGGGGTAAGCTGGGGTTTTTTTCTGTAAGCTAATAAAAAAAGAGGATGACCAACTGAGTGCAAGCGACAATTATCTAATGCCGTATTCCCAGATGGAGAAAAAGGATATTATGGCACATCCCTGGAATGCTACTGTGGTTTAAAAAAGAAAAAAAGGGACATATCATTTTACCACCAGAAGGAAATGAAACAGTTCTCAGGAACAGATGCCATATTAATTACTGTACTCATTTGATAATATTCCACATATAAGGGAGCAATGGTATTTTAACCACTCTGAGCCTAATTGCTGAAAGAGTCTGGACTACTTAAGTACATTGGCAGTAAGCAAGCAAGGAAGTGCTTTATTCGAAAGAGGAACTCTGTCCTGCCGGGCAGCAGAAGGAAGGCTACTGTTGTCATCAGACAGTCATTTGCCCTCATAAGATGTTCTTTTGCATTAACCCAATGATAATTCCATCCTTGCTGCTAGACTAACATGCTGCACAGACCAAAGGGGTGAAACTTGAACAGAGAGCTCTGAAACTTATCTTGCTGCATGACACAATTTTATTATCTGCTGATCAGGCTGGTGGCATCTTGCAAAAGGCTCGGCAAGGTCTTCCCTGTACTTATTAAAAGCAGATGCTAAACAGACTGGACTTCAAGGGACAGTTGTACTTTCTGAGCAGAAGAACATAGAGAGAGATTGTTACTGAAGGACACAAAGATTATTGGTTTTCAAACGATATTTTTCTTGGATAAGAAAGGAGTAAAATTCAGTCCTACTACAAGACTTTTCAGGGCAATAACATGACATTCTTCTTACTTATAAAATAGCTTTGCCTCTGTGGAGGTTATGTTCTGTCATACTAAATAAAGAGGTAATTAATCATTAAAGATGGGGAGTTAAATATATGCTTGCTCAGCTAATAACCTGGTGAATGCAGAGGAAGGAATGACATTTCTATGTCATTGTCTGCAATATCTCACTGGCTACAGCCTGATGACTCTTCTAGAAAGACTAATGTTAGTTTATTAAGCCAAGCCACAGCACACAATATAATTTAAAGATCATCCAATCTAATTACAGTTAGTGCAGCACCACTAGGAAATAGCCTGCTATTTGGTATGCCTTGTATCATATCATTGCCACTTCTGTACACGTCTATCAGAAGCAATTCACATCATATTCTTGAAACTTCACTGTAAAACTCCTTCCAAAAAGTCACACATCCTGTGAGCATTACTAGTAATGAGCCAACATCCTCTGACAGGCCATGAAACACTGCACGCTGCTCATTCATTGAAAGCGCTCATATGAGATTCATCCTAGAGACTGACATTATAAAAACCTGCAGTTTTGCCTCCCTCCCACACTGCCCCTTCTCAATTTCTGGCAGCTATGCATAGAGGCAGAAAATTGCCACCAAGCCAAAAGAACAGGGCTTTTTACTTCCTGCTTGACGTGGGTATAAATAGTTGTACATGCAGAAGCAGTGGAGATGCAGGCCCTGCCCAGGCCAGACAAAGTCAGAGTCACTCAAGGCTCCCTGTGGAGAGAGAATGCTGCTCACCATGAGTAACACCAGGCAGCTGCTGCAAACGGCGGTCTGGCTCACAAGAAGCATCCCATGATCAAAGGAGAAAGGGAAATAGGTAACGCAATACATGGCTGACTTCTCATTGTACAGCTGTGACTACATTTCAGTCTGGGATAGCCAAGCACTGTACTTGCACTTACTTGTACTCTTTGGACATCTGACTATCTTTTTCCTTGTCCTGTATTTGAAACAGTTATTTTCTCTAAGTTACGATAGCATCTTTGGTAACTGAAGACCACTAAGAATACCTGCGTGTAGAAACTTTTGGTTTTGTCATTATTCTACATATTTAATTTCTGACTCATACGTGAACTGAGCCAGGGAGCAAATAGCAAATTAATATATTCTGTGTATAATAGACTGAATTAATCATGAGGCAAAATGCTCTTCTTGTACACTACATGGGGGTTTGGGTCAGAAGTGTCAGTCATAATTAAACACAAAGCTGAAGAACAGACCCTTTTCCAGTATGGAGACTGGGACCAAAACCTCAGCATCCAGCGGGTCAGGTCCAGTAGTACTGAGGAACACACCTTGCCCGGTCTAGCTGTCCCCACCCCACCAAGCACCATTGTTTTCTCCTTCAGAATTCAGAAAGATTTCCAAAAAAGCAGAGCTTTAGTTTGAGATATTTGCAATGTCATAAACATATGTCCACATGCATTAAATCTGTTTCTCCAACTGACTTCTTTTAAAAGCAGCTCTCCTATTCTTTTGTTTTTGTAACTGCCATTTCTTGATTGTACTCTGCTCAGGCAGGTCAGCTCTCTGCCATAACAGCTCTGGAACATTTAATCTTGTCCTTCTCCATCACATATCACTTTCCCTTACTCCCTCTACCACCACAACTGTGATCATCACCTAATCCAACCTAACAGCTGACTCTTGTCCTTCCCATCTCCAGCCTCCCAGCAAGTAGCAGCAAATATTGTCATCAAGCCTCTCATCTGCTAGCAGCCACAGAGCACCAGGCTGCTACTGTCAGGGCTGCCACAGACCTAAGAAGACAAGTAGGGTGTTGCTGCCTGCTGCAAGGGGCTGAGGTAGGAGAGCTGCTGCCACCAAACCCAAAAGGAGATGGGAAAAGGGGCACCTACAAGCTCTTGAGGAAAAAGAGCACCTGATCAGCACCAGTAGCCACTCTGGCTTGTGAATGCATCTACATGGAAACAGTCTGAGCAGCAGCTTCCCACTTCCTCCAAGAAAATGCTGAAGGGCTCTGGCACATGGTCCATGCACCACCCACTTGGACTGCAGTGAACAGGATTACACCTCTATTTTCCCGGTGTTATACTCAGCCAGGGCATCAGAGCTTTCCCCTTTTAGGCCTCTTTGCAATAAAAGAATCTCAAAACTAGCATGTGGCAGAAAAGTAATTTATCTTAGCTGAACAGCTATGAGTCATTTGTTTGGTTTTTTTTATTAACCTTTTTTCCAATTTGCAGTGGTGTCAGACTCCACGCGGATTTCAGACAGAAAAGTCCCAAATATCTGGAGTATGCTTAGAAAGTGAACTGCACACTTGTTCCAGATGATTCTCCCTCTCGTGTACACCACAGAACACTCACAGCCTTGCCAACATGTTCCCCTTTCGCAAGACACAGGGTGGGAGCAAACACTATTCAGTTCCCTGGTTGGTCCAACCTTGTTCTTCTTTTTACACTATGGCACATATTTGTGCAGCATGCAACAAGCAAATGAGAACATCTTTTCCAAGTGGCATTTCTTAATGGCATTTGGAGAAAGATTTGTAAGTAATGTCACATGAATTGCAAATTAAAGTCTCCTTAAGACACTTCCATGACTCTCTTTTTCCGTTGCATTTTCCTCTTTATACCTCTTTCAGTCTGTATTTTCTTTGATTTGAAGCACCGAAAAATTGTTAAAACAAAGAGTGCAAGTACTTTTCTGCTCCCTGTCTCCTCACTCCCTCCAACATATTTTATTTCTGTTCTTTTAAGTGCTTTGGATCAGGTCATTGCCTCTGGCACTATTCCTCCAGCCTTGACTTACATCTAGAATAACGTCTTCTGGCATGTCTCTTGCTCCTCACTGGCTGGCTACTGTGTGCAGGGCTGCCGCTTTTCATGGATCAAGGGCTCAGGCATCTTGAGACTAGTGCTGGCCTCTCTTCTTGGCTCCAATGTTTCCTTTTCAGCCTCCTCACAAAAACGAACTAAGGTTTAATAGTTAGTTCTCAATACAGTGCTCCCTTGTTTATTCACATGTCTATTCTTTCTTTCTATTCCTGGCTACAAAGAAAAGAAAGTTGGAATAACACCACTTTTGCCAGTTTATTACCAATTTGAGCTGTGAAAGCTGGCATAGTGAGGAGGCAGAGGGAGCGAGGGAGGACATGTAGAGGGAACAGATTAGCCCATCACTAGGCCTGTTGCTGGACCTTCTGCAAGACCCCAGTGTAAATAAGTATCCCCAGAAATGTGGGCACTATTCCTTAGCCCTCTCCTTGGCTGAAAGTAGTCTTCTCTAACACTTTTCTAAATTTCAATTCCTCTTGTGCAAAACCTAAATAGAGCACAGGGGCTATGTGCTGGCATCCTGTACAAGGGTAAGATTTGAAGGATAGATTAGTTCAGCAAAACAGCGAAATTGTAGGCAGGAGATTATAATCCTCACTATAGCAGTGATCATGACTACACTGTGCTTCCCACAGTATGAAGTACAAAACTGAGAGAAAATGTATTTTCAGTTGTCCTAGAAAAATTTTTGAGGAAATGAAAATAAAGGGTACTTGGCTTTAAACTGACTGGATGGTTTTATTTGGCTAAAAAATTCTCATTTTGTTGGTGGGTAAATTCATGTTTTTTCAGTCCCTTTAAAGAAGCAGATTAATTATGAAAAGAAACTACAAACAGAAGACACAGCAGCCCTCCCTTTAAAAATGTAGAAATAACACATTTTAAAGTTTTTGAATGTTCCCCATTCCTCAGACAAAAACAAGAGGAAAATAATTTGGCTCATTGGCTTTTTGCAATCAATTTACTAATCTCAGGATTTCTTCTTTACCTGAAGCTGGACTCATGACATCTCACTTCATCCATAAAAGCCAATGCATCTAATCTAAGGCGGTAGCTAGACTCTCTGTAGCAAATCTAGGCACCTGCAAAGTGATTCATCCTCCCTGTTGCAGACACCTGTCTGAAGGTAGGATGAAGTGCTCTCTGGCAACGCTTCACTCCCTACTGATCACAGAGGAAATAGGGACAAATCATTTGGACTTAACACTTGAGTTTTAACAGCTAAATTTAGATAAGATAAATTTCCCCTCATTCTTCTGTATCCTTATTTTTTTCTTTATTGGCAAAGAACTGATTTTTCTTGTTTCTAGAATATGGGTACATACCTTCAAGAAGTCACGGTCACAGTCAGATCCATCTTCTACATCAAAGGCTGTGAAGCTATAGTTGAGTGTGTTCCCCTTTGTAGCTTGGATGGTCCAGTCACAGTGCTCATTTAATGGGTAATTATTTGGATAATTTAAACTTTCCAATATGCCGTGGCTACGGTTGACAGTCAGTACTTCCTGGCAAACTGAAAAAAAAGTGTTAATAAATTATATTTGTGCAGTGCTTATTAATCCAGTATCTCAAAAAATTACTAATTGAAGTTACTGATAGCATTACAAGGTGAGAAATATTTTTATTCACAGATTAGAGAACTCCACAGAAAGAGAATTGTGACCTATTGAAGAATATAATGCATATGTTGCAAAGAAAATCTAGACTTTTCAAACTTGAATCATTCAGCTCTATTATGTCCTTTTTTCCTGACACTTGCAGACTCATCAGTATACATAGTATGTATATTTTCTGGAAGTTTTCTTTAATTCTAAATACATAATTATTCCAGAAACATGGTTACTTTTTTCCTTTTTTTTTTTAAACCTAATAATAGAAATTTGCTCTGTCATTTGAAACAACTTGGGAAAGGGTGCTCAACAAAGATAAATTAATGGATTAAAGTGGTTTATTTCAGCAAACTGGAAAAAAATTATAATCCCTGGCTAAAACAACAAATGGAAAGTACACTACTTGTATTGGATTTTCTAGCTCCAGGAACCGGAAATGATTATGAAATTCTTTGAAAAGGAGCCATGATTTTCCTTGTGAGTCATCCAGTAGCATCCTATCATAAGAACTAGACACTCACCTGGAATAATGAGAGCTTTCCTTGAAGAGAGAGAAAATGAAAAAGAAACTAGATAAAGAGTGAAATTACAATTATGGCATTAGGTTCACTGATTCTCATCTTCCTGTATCCACCTTTCACTAAAGACAGAAAATATCAATGAGGGCAATCCCTCGCCTGGAGACAGCATACCATGTGCATCAGGAGCAGACCACTGTAATGCACAGAGAAGTGTGCAGGAGGTGGGGAGCGGGACAGGCTGTTTGCTTTGTACAGCAAATCTGCAGTGTTTGAAGAGCAGAAATAGCTGAGACTCACTTGCAAAACTCTTCTATTTTCTGTCACTAGGGATAATATACCTAGTTTCTGCAAAATTGTTTTATTCTTTCCAAACAATTTACAGAGCAGCAAGGTGTGTGTTTTTAGGACTTCAAAATGTTCAGGATACAGCTGAAGGTCAGAGTCAGGTGGAGTGGACCTTGTCTGCAAAGGTACACTGAAGCATATAACTGTTTGAAAGGACGGGATGAAGAGCACAAAATGGATTTTGAAGAATGCAAGATGGATAAAAGCTGCTACGCCCTGCCAACAGGATTTTATTAGAAACATATCAAATACAAAGGTGCCTTTGAATGTTCACTTGATACTGTGTTTTCCTTTGCAATGTTTTCCAATTCATCATTACATTTCTTTCACGTACACATAAATGCATCTGGCATCTAATCATCCTTATTTTCTACCACTACTTCCTACATAATTTTAGCTTTTGGGCAAGCCATTGAAAGCTTTCTCTGATGCATCTTCAGGAATTAAATATGAATGTAAAATGTAGATCACATTATCTGATAGCTCAGGTTCTACACCTAAGTGCTTTGAAAGTGCTCTTTCTGTTTAATTAATGAAAGGGAGGGGAACCCTTTTCTAATATATCTTCTTGACTTAGACTTGACTTGAAAAGTACATGGTAGATGAATCTGTGATATCTTTAAGAAATGAGGACTCAGAGCTCCCTCACTCTACTAATTATTGCATGCGCCATGTGTGGATGAATAGCTTTGTTTTTTTCATAATCCATTTACTATTGTTGAAACCTAAGACAACTTAATGTGTATAAACCTACAGCAATCCTTATCATTTGGGCATCTCATATTTAGGGTACACAAAGATGCTTGCAAATCATTTCCTAAGTGGTGAAATTCTGTATCTTCCAACGTGCATTTAACTATATATGCTAGAGTGTATAAGGAGAAAAGTAAACACCAGGATGATATTCAAGGTTATGACTGGGAACAAATAATTTTAATTTGTCATATATCTTCTTGGATTTTTCTCCAAATCTTATTATTCTGATATTTCTGTGGTAGAACTATTTTACAAAAACGTGTTTGCAAGAAAAATGTGACCCTTACCATAAGATATAAAAAATGAAACTTTTTGAAGGTAAGCTATATGATCCTAAGCACCCACAATGATCCAGGATGGCTGAGGGTAACTCGCTTATCCTTTGTCATCCTGACTCACAAGCAGCTAGAAGAGCAGAGAAGCTTGTTCTATCTGCTTCCTCTGTTAAAAAGTCAGGAGACTGGGTGAGCAGAAGAGCAAGAACAGTCCAATCTACCTTGTTAGGGACTTCCAGCACTTGTTTTTCTGAGTACATCTGGAGTGGTAAGTGCCACTGGTGCAGGTAATAGAAGTAGAGCCACCTCATCAGCTTTCTTCTAGGGAGGAGGTAATCTCCATCACAGGTAGATGGGCAGATAATTTTTAGCTCTCTGTGTTCCATGACTGTAGCAGACTAGAGAATCTGGGTCAATAATATGCTCTATGCATTGCCCTCTGCTCACAAATAGGTAAGATCATGCACTGCAAGAAGCAGTTTCAGGAACAAGCAGAACTGTCGAAACATGTTCTTCTCATCTTTTACTTACTTACCCTGTTTGTATTTGGCTAAAAATCCTCCACCTTGCATGCTGCTATCTGTCCTTAGTTTTACATACATGCTGTCTCCACTGGAATGGATGAGTTGTGGTATCCGATTCCCACAAAATTTACCTAGCTGTTTAGCATTACTGCTGTTGCCATCATACACCTTCAAAAGAAAAAAAAATTTTATAAAGCTGATGGCATTACAAATCCAAGTAATTTCCCCCTGACAAATGTCTGCTTAGGGAATTGTTACTGGGTATATAAGAGGTTAAATTCTATTTCTGCTCAGAGGAAGCCTGACAGGCATTTCAGAAACAAGCAAATCCATGGAAAAACAGGAAGCCAGTAACCAAATACTGGTGGGTTTGAGGGGCTTATTCACGAAGAGGGGAAAACTGCACTCCATTTCAACTCTATTAAAAAAATTCCAATAATTTATGCAGCAATTCAAATATGCAATTTAGCTTTAACAATAGGGTTATTGACACTGTTCTGCTTTTTTCCTTGTCATTTACTAAGAAAGCATACTAAGGCCTTGGTCCAAAACACAGCAAATTTAAAAGATATAGACAGATTCTTGTTTCAGTGGCCTTTCTATCTAGACATAAATGCTTTTCTTACCAGCAGCTACAGAGACACTGCTGCCTTACCTCTCACTGCTCTGTGATATGAAGGTAGCATGTCAGCATGGAGCTTTCCTATTCTGGGTCTGTTCACTTACGAACATTTGAAGACCAGAGCCATGTGTTTTTCCTTGCCTATGTACTTGTCATACTCTCAGCTGCCTCCTATGGAGCAAAGTGTCACAGGGTACATACCGCAAGGTAATCCAAGGTGCACCTTGGGTGATACTCTAGATAGAACTGTTCAAACTGGATTTCAAATGGAGTTCCTCGACTTCCTCTGAGCAACCAATAGCACTCTGAATTGTGGTAATATGGCATAGGGTAGTTGGGAGACATGAAGATACCAGAAGCTGTTGTCAAAGTCCCACCACAACCTGAAAATGGCAGAGAAATCAAACTAACATTTAACACCTAGGAGAGTAGAGAATTAGACATGATATGTGAGATGCACACTACTGACCTCCCTCACATGCCCTGAACATCTTCAGTGACACCCCAGATATCTGCATCTGGCCAACAGTGTTGTAAGCAGAAGAGAGCCCATAGCACCTAGAAATATTAACTATCTAATTTGAAGAGTGCTCCTGATAGTTAGTCTTCAAATAGAAACCTCTCCATTAAATTCTTGGTTACTGCTTTCCAAAACATATGAGAAAGTTGATGCTACATTATAGCTAGGTAATCGTACACACTTCCCTGTGGAGAAAAGAAAGCCCAAGGATCAAGAAAGTTGTATCCTTCATCTTAACAACATGAATATATGTTGCTATATAATTAGCAGGCAGATTTTAGAAGATGGGAAGCAGAAAAGATGTGGAGGAAAAGGTGAGAAATTAAATATAAATGAAAGATCAAAAATGAGATGTATAAAATGGTTTTATACTTGATGTGGTCATTTTACCTGCTGATGTACCATCCCACTCTGCTGAAAATCCCTTTTCTGTGCCAAATATGTCACTTACAAACTTTATCCACAGCTTGTTACCATGAGAGATTATAACAGGAGGCAGGTCTGTACCACAGTATTTTCCAAGAGGAGGAGAAGATTCATAGCCTCCATCTCTAGAATGACAGAGAAGAAAAACCTTGGGTCAAAGAGGAAAACCATGAGAAATGTTAACAAACAAAAAATGTTGGGATACTTTCGGGCCTGGGAAAGACTAATCCTGGCTCTTCATCTTCCACAGCCATACAGCTACCAAATACTGGAGGAGTCTTGCTACTTTTAGTAAGAAGTCCTACCACAAGCACCTGCTTGCTGGTTATGTCCACTCTCTCATCTCAGCAGCCTGTCCAGAGTCTGTCAACACAATGACAGACTCAAGAACTGTCTCAAGCAGACTTTATGCTGCAGAGGCAGGACCTTCTCTGTATTCTACAAGGTGGCAGTCATTGGTGTAACCAAAGGTAATCTTCTAATTTGAAGAAATAAGAGTTTGCTCACTTCTCACTGTTTAGCCTGGCACAAACACAGATGAGCTGATCTATTAAAAAAAAGTGTGCGTTTGCCACCACACAAGTGGGAATCCATTTCTCAGAACTGATATGATGCATGTTCTGAAATATTTTCTTAGCCTTTGGAATTGTTTATACAACCAATTATTTCCTATTTTTAAATTAAGTAGTATTTCCAGTAATATTTTCTAATACTGTAATCAGGATGCACATCTAATGTTCTGTTTTGCCATCTGTACATGTCTCATGGGAACAAAAAAGATGGTGACAACCTGCTTATCAATTGCTTTCTAACCTTATCTTTAAGCACTTTCATATTACAAACACCCCACAGGTAATTAGGACAATAATAAACACATTTATATCTATATATGGGTGTGATCTTGGTATGATGCTTTTAAGAGGACAGTAATACTTTCAATTACATTTTCATAGGTTTGTACCTGCTTTTAAGAGAAATTTCTACTTAGATCTTGCCACTGTTTCCTTGTCATCCTCCCAGCTTAAACTGCTTGCTGCTGTCTCAGGTTACTGGCAGTTGAAGCACTGTGCCAGAACGCCCCTCACTTGCATCTCAGCCTCTGCAGCTGTGGTCAGATGAACAATTTTCTTAGTTGACTGAATGTAATTTATCAGAGGACACCTCAGGACAAGAAACCAGAGTGGTACCTCACCTAAGACTTATCTAGCTATGCCATTTAATGGTATCAGGTTTGATGAGACATTCTGGAAATCCAGTTATGGCAGCAGAAATGTGCTGAGTTGCTGCTGAGCTCTTCACAGTGACAACAGAGTTAGATTTATGCAAGAAACGAATGTTTTCAGTTCTCAAGGTGAAAAAAATTAAAAAAAAAGAACTGTTACAATTCAGGTCTACCTCAAATTAAGGTGTTGTTAAAATAAAGTTAGATCAAATTTAGTCTCAGATTGTTGTTCTAAATTGAAAAAATGAAACATTTTACTTAGAAAATTTTGAAAAAGCCTTTCAGGTTTTCATAACTTTCTCCAGTTTTTGTATACAGCTGATAACAACCAGCTAATTCAGCAGAAATTCAGAATCTCAATACTGTAACTTCAGCAAGCAGCTTTTTGTTTAGTTCTAAAAAAAAAAGGCACTACTTACTGACGAATAACCTATACAGAATATCTGGTATAATGTTGAGAAAGAGTTTTATCATGGTGCTCATTTAGGTAATGGCAAGTCATGGCATGCTCAGAGTGAAAAAACACACTGGTGTTCTGCAGACATTGTTCACCTAGAAAGCTGGCTCATGAGGACAAAAATGGGTGCACTGATGCTGCAAAGTACAAATCCCATACAGCCACACATGTACTTGGCACAGCTGTTTTATGAGCATGCATCCAACCTTCTTGCAAATATTACTTTCTTCTACCTGTCTCTGTTCTGTAAAATTTACTAGATGGGAGGAAGAAAAGGTAGCCTTTAAAGTTCTCTGGTAAGTCTTTTTCCCACATTGACAGCACAGGTGCATAGTTAAATTATAGCTTCTGAACATGCCTAAGTGGATTTGGACAACTTCCATGGCTATCGGTAATAAGGACAAGAGAAATAATTAGGCTTGCCTGATTTCTACATAATCCTCTGTACAACGTTTATTCCCTTCCAAGGTGAAGTTGGTGAAGCGCAGCACAATCTGTCTGTTTATTCCCACTGTGATGGTGTATATGCACTCTCTCCGGACAGGGTAGTTATTGGGATAGTTTGGAGATGTTAGCACACCAGTTTCAGTACTGTAGTTTTGTGAGCACACTTTAAAAAGAAAAGAAACAATAATTCATTTAATATGTATGCTACATTAACAGGAAATTTCTATCTCCATCAGAGAGAGGAGCAAACATCCTGTGCTCCTGTGCATTATAACTCTTCCTGGACACATCTTACTGCTGAATGTCATCACTATAAACTAAAACCAGAAACCAGCTTTTTCATGAGATTTCTTATATTTGTGTTAATTTGTTCAGCTTTTACCAGAACACTGTGTCTATAATAAATAGTAAGAGTAGTTCCAGCTGCCTAAGTTGGCTTTGACCTAAAACCCAGGTACGCAGAGAAAGGAAAGTGAAATGGATGTCTTGATCAACACAAAAGGTAGGATTCCTTTATTTCTGAAAAGCAGTGCTGGTGGAGACTGAATGCAGTCTCTAGCTACAAGGAGATGCTCTATTATTCTCAGGCATTCCCCACGATCAAACCTGGGAGATGGGGATTTTATATCTAAATTTCTTTTCCTATTTTCTGGGCCATAAGTGACAATCAGTAGGAAAATAGTGTAATATTTAGATTGAGAGGACAAAGCAGTTCTACTTCAGGTCTTATACTAAAATCAGCTCCATCAATTCTTCTGTGTGCACTGTAGAAGCATCTTGGTATTATGAGCTGGAAAGAAGAAAATAGTGTGGACTAATGCTGAGCCAGAACCTGAGCAATAATTAAGAAGAACCTCTTTTGAAAGCACAGACAAAAAGGCTAGGAATAAAAATATCTGCTATGCAATGGTACATGAGACTTATTTTGAAAGAACAATTGTTGTGTATTAGTTGATTACAGTCTAAGGTTTGTGATCTGGCTGCAAAAAGGGCAAGAAGAAATGTGATCCATGTCAGGTGTTTTCAGTCAAAACAAGGAAACTTGATGCCACTGCACAAGGTAATAATGGCATGTCACCTGCAAAAATGTGTATAACCATGGTCACTGATGTTCTGGAAATCAAACAAGAACAAGACAGAAGTCATGGAGATAGCAGGAAATTAGGAGATTAGTAGGCAAGAGATAATAGAAGAGCTTAATTTGTTTAGCTTAGCAAGGGCAGGAGAAAAAGAAAGATGTAAACACCAAGAACCATGAAGAAAAGAAAAATAGAACACACTGTCAATGACAGTACAAGCTCTTAAGTTAAAAACTGTCCATGAATACAGATACACAGAAATTAGGAGAAAGTTTCTATCAGGAAGTGAGTTTCTAGAGCAATCATCCAACCAACACAACAGATGCAGAAAGGGGAAAAAAGTCCACTGTTTTTTAAGATGTAGTTTGATTAATTTAATTAAGGGGCTCACATTATGCAGAGCTTGGCAAAAAAAAAGGGGGGGGAGGGGCATAAAATTGTGGGCTGGATTTGATGACCCTGGAGACACATTCTGGTCCTCCATTCCCTTGTTTAAGGTCCTACAGGTTGCAAATATAAGAAATGAAAGTAGATTTCTTAAATACTTTCTATCAAATAGGCAGGGTTAGGCTAATTCTCAATTGCAACTGAAAGAGCAAGTAAAATATTACGATTATACTCATTTAAGCTGGTTGCCACAGATCACTAAAATCTGTTTTCTAACACAGCACAGCTGCAGTGTAGTAACACTTGTGCTTAACACTTCAATATGCATAATAATTTAGGGGGAAGGGATGAAATTACGGTTCAGGCCCTGCATGTCTAAGGTTGCTCATTTCCATGTCTGTTCTCTATCCATTCTAACTACTAAAACACTTTTGCTTTTAATGGTGTCTTTTTTAATGGTGGGTTTTTTCATTCTTGGTCACCTGGAAGACCTCTGTTGAAAACGTTTTCAGTGGGATAAATATCCCCAAAGCTAGCTACCAGACTCCTGTTCCTAATTCATCACAAGGAGAACAAAGAAACATGACGCAGAAACCGGCCAATAATTTTCTGCCATTGGGTTGTACTTTGGTACTGACACGTCAAAAAGGTTTCATACACTAGTTTACCTAAAATCATGATCTATTAAAGTCTTTATCTAGAATTTTAGTAATTTGTGTGTTCCATCACAGATATGCTCTGATGTATGCATAAACCCATCAGGTTAGTCCTGGTCACCTTAAAAACCTTGTGCTGCTTTATGAATCCTTATAATGCCCTTGCTGTGCTGCCAGCTCCTGTGGTATTTCATGATATGTAGGGCTTATCATCAAACCCCAGATCCTTAAGTCATATGATTTCTTGCCTGCAGGGTTAGAAATCTGACTTAGAAATATGACCCAAGTCTTTCCTAACAGCTTACTACATAAAAAGCAATTAAAATTTAAAATTAATATGTGTGTATATTTATTAGGTTACTTATTTTTTAGTTACTATTTCCTCCTGATTTTGGAAGGGTAAGTGCCTGACTCATGCACTCTTAATGGTTAGAGCTGTTGCAGTACTGCCATTCCTTATTCACTCTGAGGTTGAGACCATGAATGCTAGCTGTCAGCCTGGAAAATATTGAAATTGACGTACTAGGCAAGGGCCCTTAGGGTAAAATTAGCAACACAGAAGCCAAAATATTTTTATCTTTACCTTAAAAGAACAATTTCCACAGAATTGTCCAGGTTCCCTCCCTCACTAAAGTTTGCTTTCTTGGGAGTAATGCATACAGAAACTCATATCCCAAGTGTGCTGTTTTAAACTGGATGCTGTATACTGCTCTACACTTCACAGAATAATTTTCTTCATGAGCTAAGGGGAATAAATACAGAAGGTGGAACAGTGACTGTCTTAGAAATGTCAGACTTCTGGCTACCATGAAATAAATCCAAATGTAGACAAAGCATAAGCTGCTATGAGGATCAGGAGACACATAAATGAACCTACATCTTTTGACAGCCAACTGTCTTCTGGTACCTGGATTTATTCATTGTGTTCTACTTTCA